CCTTTCTTTCCATCATCGCTTTTTTGGTATTCACACATTTCCCAGCTCTCCACCCCTCTTCATTAATGATCCCAACCCTGGAGGTATCAGTGATGAGGTACAATTCAAAATACTGTTACACCTCTTCTGCTGTTCAAGGTTAGCATTCTTGCGAGGAGAAACTAAACTTCCCTCCTCCACCTGAGATGTGAGCCCCCATCTCCTATCTAACAGGAGAGACCCTAACTCCCAGGCTACCCTCAGGCAGGACAATAAGAAGTTATTTTATTTTCCTTGGAATAATGATGTGTCCGTGCGCCAGAGACAGAAGGGAAAAAAAAGAGTTCTTCAGGATTCTTTCATTAGATGATCAAGCATCAGAAAGTCCACTTTTGTTACAGTCAAGGTTGTAGCACTTAAGTGTTGACATGGTTATGACAGTCCACGACATTTCAACAATACAGATGTCCAGATTCTAAGTCAGAGGAACTACTACAGATGAGCTGAAGTCCACAGAGCAGTCCTGAGGAGGATGTTAGTGAATCCTCTTGCAGAAATGCAGTTATACCTTTCCAGGCTATAGAGGTTTCTGCCATTCCACCACCATAATCTGATCACTAATGATAACGCTATCAGCTCAGCTCAATTATATACATAAGGCTCAGTACAAGCTACTTAATTTTCTGAGCGCCATGATTTAATTATGCAAATTTCTCCTAAGAAGTCATGCTGTGCTCCAAAAAAATCCAAGTTGCAGAGTGCAATGGTCCTCCTTCACAAATGCTGCCTGATTTTTTCCTGTTTGCATCAGTTGGACAGTCACATTATCTTTAAACCCATTTTCTTTTTAAACAGAGAAAGAGCAAAGTGTCTTAAAAATAGTAGGAGCAGTAAGCAATGAGGCTAATTAATCTTTATGGCATATTTCCCAAAGATACAGTGGGTCATAGATCATCTGAAGTCTTAAAAGGATACCTCATTTTGTTTTACAATGTTGCTGTGTTAAGTTGTTGGCACAGATGGAAGAACTGTTCAGAAGTATTTTTTAGACATTCTGACCCGAGAACTAAATGTAAATCTTTATTTTAATTTAAGTTAGCACTCATTACATATCTTAGCTACTACACAGTCACTATTTTTCAGCCCAGATGCAGTTGTTGGATGGCAATAGTTGATGTTTGCACTGTACTTGGCTCCAAGTGTCAACTTCTTTTCCAAACAAGTATCTCAGGAATGAGACAAGCTTTGCAGCTGATGTTACACAACAGCCATTACCACCGCACTTGCCACTTGGGGTGAAAGAAATCACAATAAAGCACTGGTCTCAGCAGTGATTTGTGCTGGCACCAGGAATAATGAACAGCTAGGCTTTAAAAATAAGTTTGGCCCTAGGTAGCACAAGGGTTACTTGTCAGTCACCTGAGGCTTTGCATGGATGCAAGGATACACGCACACAAACACGCACAAAATTAAAATCAGTATTTTTGCTCATACTACCAAATAAGTTGCAATTGCTCGCAAGATTTTGCCAGGAAATCTTGTTCAAGGGCTGCCATTCTGGAAGGCACCTTTCCTCCCTGCAGAGCTCACAACCACTGAATCCAACACCAGGACAAAGCAATTGGGCAGAGATCAGGGGGATGCAGTAAAAACACAGAACTCGGCAGAAGTGTCTGCTCTGCTGGAAAAGAGGTGCTGCAGAAAAGCAAACCTATTCGTGCTGCCTCTCTCCCGACACCTCAGGTGAGAAAAGCCCAGGCCACCCAAATGGAAGGAGATGTTCCTACTCCCCACTATAAGGGTATTTCCTAACCCTGTTTACTCTAGATCCAAGCAGTACTGACCCACAGCTGTCTCACTACCAGCGTGCAGGCTGGTAGCACCAGATTGTCTGGAGCCAGATCCTGGATGATGCTTTACTTCAAGTTCAAGACCTTGGGGGAAAAGAGGGCTGAAGAACAACATGAATCACGGTCGTGCTTCATTCTTTGATCCAACCTTCATGGTTGAGTGTGGAGGAAGGCAGAGGATGGGGAGCTAATCCCTCAGCACCCAGCCAGGAGCAAGTTCTCCCATCACCTGGTGCAAGTTGGGAGAGGACATCTGCTCCCTTCTTGCTTTAGGTAATCCAGGCTGGGGAATAGGGCAGGACTTGTTCAGCTGGTTTTAGTCTGGGGTTGCCCTCAGTGCCAAACACAGCAGCATCTCCATTACAGAGATGCCCACTGTGAACTGGCTGGGAACTGGCACAGATTTTTAACTAGAGCATCTCTGAAGACAGTGAGTTATGGCTGGAGACCGGGGTGATTTAAAAAGCACTCGCCAGCCTGCTACAGACTCCGTTTTTCCTTCGTAGCTGCTGTTTTGAGTTGTCTTTCCCACCCTCCCCTGTGTGTTGCCAAAGTAAAGCCCATGTATAATTTATCTATTCCAGACAAGTTATGCTGATGCATAATTTACAATGGCCTGCAATTTTCCTATATAGTGAGAGAGAGATAATTATAACGCATTTGCATACTCAGGGCCACAACATCAGCGGGTGTAGCGAGACAAAGGCCTCAAGCTCAGCACCAAAACTGGGTTTGGAGGGAGCTCTGCAGCTGTG